ACATGCCACGCCACTCCCATGCACACCACCTTTTTTTAAACTTTTGAACTTTATAAATATTTTGTGCATGCATTACATAACCATCTGCAAGTTTTTGACAACCGTGTGCCATTACTTAAAGTAAATAACGAAAACCTTTACGACAGATTACCAATTTACAAATAATTAAAGTAATAACGTTTTCCAGTTATGTTCAAGAGTTTCCAGCAGTTACTAACAATATTGCATTACGTACCGACTAGCAGGGAAAAGACATGAAAAAAATGTCAACATTTAAACTTTTAAAGAATTCATTGACAGTAGGCAATGCTTTGGATGCATTGAAACTAAAACTTCTTGAGGGACAATGACAATATTTGTTTTAAATACGATTTTTCGTAGATTCTCAGCCTCATTCTCAGCGCCATGTGCATGTGGCAATTAAAGCTGCAGATTTCATTACATATTCGAATGAATCATTTGTGATGCGCATGACATACTTGTAACAAGTTCAGTTATCATATATGCCTGTCATCTATTGTTTTTACAAACCGGGCATGCGTAATGAATTTTTAATGCTTCGTAAACTTTTTCTAAAAAAGAAGTACCTGAAGAAAAATAATTAAGATACGTTTAAGATTTCCTTTTCTATCCAACTGTTTTAAATATTTGGGTTGTAATACATTGCCGCTGAATGCAGTCACTCTTAACGGGAGGTTCTAAAATTCAAGTCCCGATGTGGCAGGTTTTCAACATTAGCTCAGTCGAAGGAGAATTTTAGCAGCCAGCTGCATTGCTTAGTAGTTTACCGTGGTTTCTCCGATCAGTACTGAGTGAATGCCGGGGCAGTGCCAAAACAAACAGACCACGCACTAGCATTCCTCCTCATCCTTCTCCTACCCCTCCTCTTACACACACAGTCACACACACACACACACACACGTTTGCATTCTCATATAAGGCAGGAGACCTGTCGGGAGCTTACAGCTTGACCCTGCAAAGACGGTGTTCTTGTGAGTGAGACACGTAGATTATGGGGGAAATCTCCCTTAATCTCCAATTTGTTTCTTTATTCTTTCCTCGGATAAAGCTAAGACCGCTTAAAAAATGCACAGGTTTCACTTTTGTAAATTATTGTAGTTTTCGCGCAATTTTTAGAGGATTATGGACAATATTATGTACACGATTTTCTAAAAAAAGTGTTCTAATTTTTTTCTTAGGGCGAATTTTATAGGGTGAAAAAATTCTTCGTACGCCTTCCTTCGGAGAGGAAGTAAAGCCGGCTGTCCCATGTTAGTAGATTTACTGCATCAAAAGATCCTCAAGCCTAATTGAAGCCTCTGAGCTAAATTCAAATCGCCTGTTCGTCGCCCAAGAAATACATCCTTTCTCTGCTCGCTAGTGGGTGAAAGGAACGCAGCCAAATTTGCTCAGAAGGAAAAGCGGGGCTGATGGCCCGAGTCTCGCCACGTAAAATAAGGCATCAATTCTATTAAATTAAATTATTTAATATTTGAAATAAACAAAATCATATAATAATTTCTGCATTGTCACTCCGGTTACATTACTACAAAATTTTTCGAGCATGCATCATATGAGGTAAGAACAAGTTAAAAATGGAAGGGATACGCATATTCCGGCAATAATATGCAGACATTAAAATGGTTTGTTGGTATTCTCCACAACATTGGTACTGGGAATGACAATGATTTGAGAATCCTTTACGATCACAAGCCAAAGTTCGTTGTACAGGTGACATCACAGGTGAGCAGTCCATGCTTTGTTCTGATCACAAATACGACAGCAAAAGCATTAAGAATACACTTTTTTTAAAATTTAATATATTTATTTTTCTTGTATGATTGAGTCTATATTTTCCGTAAACGTAACAGAAACTATAGAATTGACTCGTTCACTTTCGATATGAAATGACGATTTGCATTTTATAGAACCATTTCAGTTCTACAGATCATGTGGAGAATTGGACTTTATAAAAACCACAGAACTATAATGTA